TCAACGTCGCCTGCTCTGGCTTTTGGAAGACAATTGACTATGGTTGCTGGTGTCTCTAGCTTCACATGTCTCAGAACAGAATCACCAGTTACAAGAGTTTGATCCCTGGCAGGTGTCTCGCCGAGTGGGGAAAAACGGTTAGACACAAATGACTCTGCAGTCTATTTACACCTACAGGCCAGTGGACTCTTTCAAGGATGAGGATGTAACATCCTGGACAGGGAGGAACGCTGGTTTGAGCGCGGAGTCAAGGAGGCCATTTATGCGAAAGAGGAATGGAGGAGGGGGCCTAAGGGTACATCTTACAATGCTATGATTGCAGCCATTCCCCTACTCTCTGTGAATGGTACTCATAGCCATTAATCAATTGTTGTTGATCGGTGGCCATGACAATTTGCATATCAATTATCAAGAAACTGACCTCTCAGCCCATTGTTCGCTATTTGTGCTGATTTCTGTCATTATGCAAATGTGCTGTTTACTGTTTGTACGTTTATAAGGTTGGAAACCTGCAGTCAGCTGAGACCGAAGAAGTCACCTGGATGAGTGATGAAATGTTTCTCTCACTGAAAACTCTACGTTCAGATGAACAGAATCAACCTTTCTGGGATTTCCTTACCTGGATGATTGAGCATGCATTAATACATCTATACAGAACGGGACCAGCCTACCAGTGGATTTAAACGCAGGACCTTCTTGGTGCGAGGTGACAGCAGTAACCAGCCACGATGCCAGCCTCTTCAGAGAACACATTGAAACAAAGCACCAGCACGAGAGAAATCGCTTGATCAATATTGTGTTTAATATGATAAGTATGGCACATCATCATAAATCAAATTATAACAGTTTGGTCATGTTGAACTATGAAGGTTTTTTCTTTATCTCATCAGTTCTGTGATGCTCAAACTAAAACAAGCTTAACAAAATATTGTAAAATGTTAACAAAAATTATATTCAAAATAAAAAAGCAGACTTTTAGGAAATGAAACAATCTGCTGCAAACGATGAAATTTTCTTCTTTTCCGTCTGTCAGATCAGACAGTTGTGAAGGTGTAGCGAGTTATGTGATGGTAGTTCTCTCCAGGACGCAGAAGGCAGTCAGGAAATGAAGGCTGAATACACACACACACACACACACACACACACACACACACACACACACTCTATTTTAATTCTCATTAGTCTGTTTAACCAAACAAACAACCAAACAGCAACGAGGAAACTTGTTTTCACTGCTGTTCAGTAAGCAGTTAATGAGTGTTTGCATACTGTTTGATTTGGGGTTTTGGCGAGGGTTTGATGGACTGGTGGGGTAATGTGTAGAAGTGCAACCACAGCCATCAGAGATGTGCTCAGTCAGTATGAGAGATAGAAAGAATCAGTGGTGTGACAGAAGGCTCTGCAACTTCCTATAACACACCCCAAAGAATACTTTCCAGTGTTGTGGCAGCAGTCTTCACTTTGTCTTTGACCAAGTAATAAAAACAAAAACAAACAATGGTCACCATGTCGACATAAGCATATTGATTAAGGACAGACGGAATAAATCATGAAATTACAATCAGATATTACTCAGCTGTTGGTGAAATAAAAGCAGGAAATTAATTTCCAGGCAGGTCATTATACCAAATTGGCAGTTAGATAGGATATGATAAAACAATGAACCAGATCATGAACACACTGGTCGGGTGTTCAAGGTATTTGAGCTGCTAAAGTCTAGCCCACCCTCAATGCCACCGTTGTTTCTTTTGTTTTGTTTTTTCAGCCAGTCAGTTTAAGCATCTGTGCACCTTCTGTCATCAATGGAGGTGCTCTTTGTCCATATGGGTACAGACCTCATTGAGCCATACAACTGTAGTGCACAGGGCTAATGTTATCATAGGGCTTTGGAGTTGACGTCACGCCGCAATGCATTGTGGGAGCGCAGCTCCATTTTCGGGGTCTACGAATCAAAACAAACACACTGTGTTGGAACGACGACGACAAGAAACATGCTTAAAAGCAGCTCAAAAGAAAACGGACGGTATAGAGACCGATTGCGTCCAGAGGCGAAGCAGCGGTACTTGAAAAAAAATAGAGTGCATCGCAAATCTGGACCCATTTGAAATACGGCAGTGGAGTAAAGACCCAGACGACTTACCGCCACTGTCCTACCCCGATATCTTCACGTATCTTGTTTGTGGAGTAAGCGCTTACACAGCGAACCAGTTTCGTAATTACAAGTCACTGGAGGCGCACATCCAATTTACAAATGGCTGGGTGCAAGATTTGGCTATTTTCAAGCCGCCAAACTCTGAGTACGTCGTCAAAGTAAGTCAGCTGGAGTGCACCGAGTGAAATAGCCATTTTCCACCCCCCACCATAATTAATGTTACACATTTATCATTTAACTGCTAAAATATCGTTATCATATTATATGCCCATAATTGTAAAGTACATGCAAATTAACACATTGATAATCGGGTAAATTATTAACGCCAATTTGTGTCCTTCCTGTCTCATTTCATTTATTGTCTTTACATCAACCAATCAAGTCACTCCATTCTATGTTTGATCGCAATTTCTATAACTTCCGAGACCACCAACGATGATATTATTCAGCTATAAAGTGTGATGTGAACATATTTAGAACTTACCGGAATGAAAATGTCTTGAGCACACCAACTGATATCTGGAGACGTAACAGAACTTGATATCAGCTCGTCTCACGGCTGCTATCCAGGCTAGACGCCTTCGTTTGGTAATATCCGATACATGAGCTCCTTCATGTTGCTTCCAGGTTGGGAAAGCATAAAAAGACAATCAAACTTATTCCCGTGCCGGTCGTAAGATCGAACATTGCAGCCGACCACACAGCAAGTACGAACCATGGCTATGCTTTCGCTCCTTACTTAGACCCCCAAAATGGCGGATCGGGCCAAAATCCTTTCCACGCCCACCCCCGTGACATCACGCTCCAAAGCCCTATTATGCAAACCCAAGCAATGCATACTGTCACAACATTTCTGCAGACGGGCGTTACATGGACACTATTTCAGGTTATCCTCAGAGCTGGAATCCCAAAGGAGATTCTGAGCAGACTAATGGTTAATTACGTCTGTTTGGATGACTGTTTGTCAGTACCACACATACGGTCTGGTCGAGTTCTGAGGAAGACTTTGAAAGATCATACATGACAATGGATGCAATCAGGGAAAAGTGACTATATGTATGGACTGTGATACTTATGAGCTTGTCTTCTCTGACAGAGGTGTAGCAACACAGATTTCAACCTCCTAAAAGTTTGGAGAGGCAAAGCCCGTTTCTCCGAGGAGCCTGCTGAATGACTTTGGTATCTGATAAGTTGGGGCCTCAGGTGCCAGATTGCCAATCACACTTTGCTCATTTGTGATGACCAACTTATACCATCCAAGAGAGCATATGTTTGCATGCCACAACAGCATTTTGCTGTCTACCCTACCAGGAGGCATAAAGCTAGATAATATATATACCTATAGACTTGCCAAAGTGTGACAATGCATTCAAGAGTTTAGAAGTCAATGAAAAGTAGGCGTGAAGGAATTAAAAACTATTCTGGAGATGGGAGCAATCAAAGAGTCTCAGACAGATGAGTCTCTAGAGAGCTCTGCAGATTAAGGTGAAGGATATGTTACATGCCTATCCATGTAAGGCCAGGAAGTGAACTTGACCGAAGGCTAACTTCCATCTACAAGAGAAAAAAACATAACACTGAGTTTCTATTCATCATACCTGGTTAACAGCATCAGGCCAGTTCTGCGTCTCCAGACAGAAGGAGCTGTGCTTCCTGTACCTACAACCACACTTTCCTGCGATGGAGCCATCCAGGAAGTTGGCAGTGTAGAACTGGACTCCTGGCTGGTTAGTAGAAACCTCTAAGACACGCCCACTTGCTGGGTGACAGACTCTTTAAAATGAATAAATAAATAAACAAATAAGATAAGACTTATTTGTCCTCCTTAACTTCAGTGGATGTCACATGTGTCTACAGTATGTTTTAGAAAATGACTTCTGTGTCAAACCTGGCAGCGCGTTTCTCTGTCCATGGACCTCCGGGTGATGACAAACAGAAGTTGTGGTCAAACCCTGGGCCTTGAAGTTCCTTCAGACGAGGGCCAATGAGAACTGGTTCTCTGAGGTCAAAGGGTGTGTCTTTCACCTCTCTGATCTCTCCTGTTAGTATTTAGCAAATTAATTCATGACTTCGTATCAGGAATGTTAATTAATGTCACACAATCGATTCTATAAAGGTGAATTATTGCAGTTACGAGTTATTTACTGGGGCATTAAGATATATTAAATAACAAAAAGTCCATAAGTAACATGTTTAGCAAATTAAATCATTTGCTAGTGAGCGTTCTGCACACTATCTTTGCTGTACCTAGTACTTAGCTGCATCTCGCACTACAGGCACGTTCCTCTGCTTTATCACCATTGTCCAGTGGTTTCCATCAGGAGCTTGTCTGTATCTGAAAATCCCACAGGATCTTAGCTTCGTCATTCTCATCCCCATAGTGACCTCTGGGAGGTTTCTGAATTACTGTGATAGAACGCCAGCCATACAACAAGTCCAAGAGCCAATCAAAGGCCTCCAAACATTATGTGGCCTTCACATGAGCTCACGAGCGGTGGGTTTGGTTTATATAGTTAAGCACCTGCATACTAAAGAGGAAAATAACTAGAATTTGCCATTTCTGGAGAGACTGCAGTGGGATTGTAAAAATTCAAACTTGCATGTACCAGATGGGTCAGTTGTGAGAGTGCCACAAACATGGAGAGCCACACTATGGTGAGACACAGACGAAACCATCCACAAATGAAACTCAAATGAGGGAGGCAGGACATCAGAAAAGACCCACTTTTCTCTCTGTCAGTCTGTGAGAGCAGCGCTGCACCAAAATAGCTTGTTGCTGTAGACTGAACAAAAGTGTACCTAACAAAGAGGCACAGTGTTCTTTTACTGTCAGTAACATTCAGCACATAGCTCTATGCTGAACTGAGGTCAGGAGAGCGAGTTCAAAACTGATGTCTTTTTCTTTCTTTCCAAAACTGGTTGGAAAAATTAAACAGGGAGTAAACGGGAGCAGAGGATGACTGAACCAAATGGCTCCAGTTCAAAAGTTACACATCTCTGGGCTTTGAGGAAGGACTCGTTGAAAACACGACACATGTAGCTACATCTTGAGGGTAAAATGATCACTGTAGGGTGAAAACTGTGGTCACAGCGGCAGGTTAAAGAGAAAGTTTTCAGCCGAGATTTTCTGCCTGTCTCACACTAAATCACAGGTGTTGAACTCCAGTTATGGTCGTAAATATTTTGTACTTGTAAAACAGGATTTTTATGTGTAAAAATAATTTGTGTGTGCGTAAAAAAGATTTGTGCATGTGTGGACTTAGCCAAAAAAAAACCCTGCAAGTTACAAGTACGAATTTTGACCCTATTTTTCTTCCTTTCATCTGATTGGTCAATGTCATGTCAATCACAAATGTAACAATCCAATCAGAGAACAGATGGGTTTGGCTGTCGGAGGGGCGCTTTTTTGAACTGCAGGTCCTTGAAGGGTGATACAGTTTGAAGCTGGAGGATCGCTATATAAATATCCGATAGCAGCTAGGTCCCCTAACTTTCAGCAGCTGTTGAAAGGAAAAAGTTGTGGTATATCAGTGGTTAGAAATACCATTATTACTTTAGGATTAGTTTAACACAAAGTCAGGGCTGACCCGGGACCATTGCTGTGAGTCACAGTGCGCAGCATAAAGGTCCTTTCACATGGGACGCAGGATGTGCTGCTAATGCTAACTAAAAGCCAAGGATCCAGAATTTGTTGCGCTGGCTGCTGGGCTCTGTGGGTTTTTGCAGCAGCTCTACCTGTACTAGATGCACCTGCTCCTTGTCTTTTCTATCTCTGACTTTATGTCCTCTACAAGAGTTTTGTTTTTTTTGCTAGTTCTTCAAATGTTCAATAAAAACATGTATGCTAATTCATAACGAAGAAAGCTTTGTAATGAAGACTGTCATTTCCAAAACACTGCCCGCCCCCACCCCGCGGTCCGCAGCGCTGTTGAAAAGGCTGTGGAAGTCCCTGTATTAAACACGTAGACCTGTGACACAAAAATCACCAAACTCGGACGACCACAGACTGTTTTCCTTCGTGGTGAAAAAAATCACCAAACTCGGACGACCACAGACTGTTTTCCTTCGTGGTGATGAAGGAAAACGCTGGGTTGGCATGTAAAAGGGCATTTATTCCCTTCAAAGACCTGCAGTTCAAAAAAAGCGCCCCTCGACAGCCAAACCCATCTGTTCTCTGATTGGATTGTTACATTTGTGATTGACATGACATTGACCAATCAGATGAAAGGAAGAAAAATAGGGTCAAAATTCATACTTTTTTTTTTGGCTAAGTCCACACAAATCTTTTTTACGCACACAAATCCTGATTTACAAGTACAAAATATTTATGACCACATTTTGAGCCCATATCCAGTCCTCGAGGGCTGCTGTCCTGAAACTTTTCCATGTGTCCCTGCTGCAACACACCTGCCACCTTCAGCATTCAGTCAAGTTCTACAGAGTCTCGCTAATGACTAGAGATGGCACGATACCACTTTTTTATGTCCGATACCGATATCATAAATCTGGATATCTGCCGATACTGAAATGAATCCGATATAGTGTTTTTTAATCAATGGAACTGTTTTTTTAATATCTTACTGCTGTTTGTATAAGTTAATACTCAAGTTAAAAAAACAACAACAACAACACTAAAGCTATTCTGTTATACCTGTATGCAAAAAATACACTGCACCCAAAATATTTCATAGTTTAGCAAAACTGATCAATCTAATAAACTTAAACCTGCTCCTTCCTCCCTATCACAGCAAATTCAAAAGTGTTAAATGTTTTGGTGTTAATAGTCTTCTTGCAAAAGTAGAGTTAATTTTACTCTAAGTAGAGTCACATTCTTTTAATGTAACTCTGAGGTGTAAAATGATAGTAGTTAAAATCGAGTGTTAAAAATGAGTGTTTCTCTGTCAAATCTGGAGGTGTTACAATGGAAACATTAACTCTTGACCTCTTAACTCTGAACTCCTACAGGGGCTATGACACCAACAGAGTAAATTCACAGACTCCGCCCCCAGCACGGCTCCAATCGAAGCTGAAGTGAAGCCGTTTCAGAACATTTTGCTCTACATATTTGAGTTGTTTGCCATGCTTGGTAAGTCATTTTTCAAAGATTGTTTCAATTATTATTATGAGCTTTTACTTCTGTGGCTCTTTGGAGTTGAGACAAAGCTGTGTGAAAGGCATTAGCCATGTTGCTCGCTGATAGCATAATATTCTGTTTTAGCTAGCTGAAAGGTATTGTTTGCGGGCAAATACCACAGCCTTGAAAAAAAGCTTGCATGTGAATTTTCAGTCAAACGTTTGGTCAAATACACCTAAAACAATGTCTAGAATGTGAAATGTTGGTATAATGGTGCTACTTGAAGCCTGAAAACGATCTATAAAAAAAAAAAAAAAAGCAAAGCAGCATCCTCACTTTCTT